CTTCAGTTTTTCTTCCAACTGTCTGTTGTATAGGAAACCACAGACAACCTTTAGTAACCTCCTCTCAAATCTGCTGCCATTCAGATTTTTCTTGGTTCTTACTAATACAGTATATATATTTTCACATTTACTAAATGCTATTTCTATAGTTCTATCTTGTTTTAGAGACAGTTTAGCAAGTGTGGTGCTAGGGGCTGGGCCACAGGGGCATTGGCCCAAGCTGAAATYTGACTGGACCCCTGAAGTGGCCCTGTCCTGTCRCTCATCTGTGCTTTGGCTGAGGGCAATGACGGTGGATGCAGTTCTATGTCTAAACACTAGTGGCACTAATGAGTCAAATAGGAAAGTCCAGCATGAATCAAGCTCACAGAAGTCTTCTCCTTTTAAGAAAATGTAAACAATCCTGCAGAAAAAGGCGTTAAACTGACAAGCGATGGCTGRATTTTCTTGCATGCTGTGTTTGAGAGTATTTTATCTATGTACAGTAAAAATGTRCGTAAAATTGGTAAAGAGAATYTACTGTGGAAGCTTTTTTAAATTACACTGAATATGTGTGACTGGTTAAATGTATATATCTTATCAAAAGTGGGGATTTGTGYGCAAGGATGTGTAACTACTACTATGAACATTGTGACCCCTTACTCAAAAAAATAAATAAATACAATCCCAGATCTGCCACTGCTGTTTAGCTAGACAATCTGCCACATCACTTCCCTCCATAACTATGAGCAGGTACCCACATAAAACTAACTATTATTTGAGATTGTGTAAATCTAAATATACTTTCATATATTTCATACACAGATTCTGGGCAGCTTTCAGATGAGAAAGCCAAAATAGGCATTTAATAGTATGAATCTGAACATATGAGCACTCTTTCTATTCTATTTTGCTCTACTCACTGCAACACCATCAGAATAGCTAACATCTCCACTCTTTATAAACAATCAGTTGTTCTTTGCGTCATAATTATGCTTAGCTCAGGAATAACAGAGGCAAATCCTATTTTCTCTCTCTCGATTGGTGGTTTCCCCTCAGTTCAAATCCTGCTCCTCGTCTGGTCACGCCCACTCACACCTGCACCATGTCTCGTTTAGCTCAGCTGTTCCTCATCTCCTCGTCAGCGTTGTTAACCTTTAACCCTGTCCAGTCTTGGTGTCTGCTCCCTTTGCCTCTCTCAGTTTAAGCTTGTTCTGCTTCCATGTCAGCMTGTTGCTTAATGAGCTGTAGTTATTTTTTCGTATAAGGTCAAATCCCTTTCATTTCGAGACATAAAAAGCCATATATGGCCTCAGAGCCATAGACACCTGGTTTATTTGGACAGTTTCACTCCTGCAAACTCTTGCTGTTAAAGAGAGAAAAAAAAGCATCCCTTTGATATTGGCCTCAACCTCTCCACAGCCCTGGAAAAACAAAAACAGAACCACAGACAGAGGTGCTGTCAGTCATCTACTCCATTAAGTGCATAACTGTTTACAAAGTTCAGCCCTGAACTGCACATACATAATTTAAACTGGACCCTCTGAGACTTATTCACAGAGTTTCAGAGTGTGCCACTGCTCAGCACAGCATATGATGTTGGTTAGGGCCTCTTGAAGYGACCAAAAGCATAGCACACTGCTGACAATCACTTCAACCAACACTTTCCCCAATTAGATTCTTGCATTTCTGAGCCAGGTTCATGCATCCAGTGGAAGAAAAAAAACGAACAACAACAATCACTTCCAGTCTCACTCTGACTTGCCATGGTTAAAATGACAAAACAATGATCAGAGTTGACCGACAAAGTGATCCGCTGCTGCCACTCCCGGCTGAATCAAGGGTTTCGGCTCAGTTAACATAGCTGAGGACTTTCTCAACTTTTAGCTTTACTCCTCAATCAAACTCATGAAGGGGAAGAATGTACAGTGTTTTTAGCAGTTCCCGTTTTGTTCCTCTTCAAAGAGCACCTTGTTTTGAAGCCCACTTTTTGGCTGATAGGCATGCTGGGTGGAATTCACAGTGAAAAGCTTTGAAAGCTGAATATGGCTAAATTATTGATGCATTTGGCTTARGAGAACAATAGAACAGAGAGGGGGAAAAAAGGAAAGCACTGACATATTGCTAACGTAAAAAGCTGCTGCGGAGGGGAAAAAACGGAAGCAGGAACTAAAAGAGAAACCTCCAGGGAAAGGAAGAAAGAGAATCCAAAGTGCCTTAAGAAGAATCCAGTTCATACAGCGAAAAATCTGTGATTCTACACGTTCTATTTAAATGTACAGCAACGCAAAAACCTGACTGACTTAAACCCCCCACATAGAACATTACACACTTAATAAAATCCAATTAGTTCCGAATCAACTTGAAATTGAATAAATGTAAACATTTAGAACTAATGTTGAAAGATAGAGTTAAAATATTATTTTAGCTCAATATAAAAATGTAAAATGGACTGGCATAACCATTTTTGTCTTGGCTATTGTTGATTAGCTATAAAAGTTAATCAGTTTTAATCATTATTTTCTGAAAGTTCCATCGAAATCACGCAGTAGCTCATGAGATGTTTTGCTAATTGTTAACGGCAAAGTTTTAGTGTGGCAGCACGACGGCTCAGTGGTTAGCACAGACACCCCACAGCAAGAAGGTCCTGGGTTCGATCCCTGGTTTGGACCTGGGGTCTTTCTGTGTGGAGTTTGCATGTTCTTCTCGTGCTTGAGTGGGTTTCCTCCGGGTACTCCCCCAACATCACGGGTACACCCCCAAAAACATGTACAATAGGTTGCCTTCAGGCCCAGGCCTCCCCTGAAAAAGAGATCTGAGATCTCGATGGGACTTGCCTGTTTAAATAACGGTAAATAAATAAATTTAATAAATTTAAACAAAGATCTGTTGACTGGGTGTCAGTATGCCCCAACTACTTCCACACCAAATTGTAGCTCTGTATCTATAGTTGTGTTTCCATTTCAAATGTTAAACTTTGTCGATATTATGTTAATGTCGAAAAAAATAACTGTTTTGCAAGTGCAGTGTTTCCATTAAGTAAAAAAAAAAAAACACTATTAAAGTCAAGCGTGAATACGCTTGTTCTCGCTATAAGTCATTACAAACATGGCAGCAATGGATGTAAACACATAGCATTTTGCTACCACAACACTAGCACTCATCAGCCATCAGAGGAGACATCGGTGTCTTAACGAGGCTTTCGAGTGACTAGCCCCTTATATTTGGGAGTGGCTACATATGCTGCATTTTTGGGAAAATGTAGTCGGATAGTTTAATACTTTCTTTTACTACTTCGGTGATTTCACCACTACTTTTACTTCCTGTTGTCTTCTTCTTCGTCGTTTTTTCCGCCAGTAGAAACAGCCAGTTCTTGATCACATGACTCCCGTGATGCAAAAAAAGTGTTTCCATTGCAGTTTTGCAAAATACATCATTTTCGATATGGCCAAAAAAAACACCTCTTCCTAGCGCAAAAACATTTCGTCAAAAAACATATTTTTTTCCCAAAATTGACGTGTTTYCATTGAGCAAATTCGTTTTTGAAATTCTAATTTGTGCATTTTCATGGTCAATGGAAACGCAGCTACTAAAACTGATGGGATTCTAATTATTACAGTGATTTTTTAAGATTAGTTGTCTGTGGCAGCCACTTTGAATCAGCCTGAATCCAAAACTTTATTAGTTGCATATACACATAATATGTTTGCAGGTTTCATTAAAGTTTGTTTTGCAGATCATGAGATGTTTTGCTAACAGACGCCCCACCCCCCGCAACGCCCACCCACAAACCAACCCGGACAAAACAAAGTGAAAGTAGGGGATGGATCTATATTTTTAACAAGTTTATTTTAATTTATTTTAGCTTTTTTGGGGAAGTTTTGCTTCAGCCTTTTTTTATTTGTCTGACTGGTTGATTTGCAAGAAATATTTGTTTCATGAAATTATGGAAATTATATTTGTCCAAATCCTCGACTGTACTCGTCCTTTTGAAGTACTTTGACAATTAATGCCCTACTATCTGCTGCTGTATTTTTCAGTTCAACAAAAAAGAAAGCCAGCTCTTTAAACTTTTTTATTCTGCTTGGTGTCATTCTAGCTGCAGTAGATGAATCGGTTTGTAGTTTGCTTAAATCAAGACTACCGGTAATCTTGATTTTCTCAATTTTAAGCCACATCTGAGCCTTTCTATTTATCTCCTGGCAACTATAGCAGAACCCTGCTGTGGACGTTGGGAATCGATGTCTTAAGCTTACTAGAAGGAAAATTATACTTCGGATTGCCTGTTTATATTCCCACAGACATGTGTGTAGACATACAGTAAGTGCACGCTGTCCGACAAACATGCAGTTATCATATTTGCGTGACCTGAAACTTAAGCAGGGTAGAGACTATCTTAAAAAGACCTCTGTGTTTTGAAATGGGATCTGTCGAATACACAAGCAGCCAGAAGCACACAAACATGCACAATTGCCTCTATAAAACCCAAGATAGTGGTGCCCTTGCAGACAGAAACATACACACACACACACACACAGACAAAAACCCTATAACATCTGTCTAATCTTCTGTCAAACACGGTGCACGAAGCTCATAGCACCACCAAGCTTGAGACCAGGGATGATGGTGAAGCCATTTCCAACCTCGTGCTTTTATTTCGGCTCAGAAAGCGRGTGAACCGATGCATTCTCCAAACAGACTTTTAGTAATCCTCTAAAAAAATTGAAATCCTTGACATTTTGGCTGATTTCCRGTGTACAAATTTAATATCGCCTGGTGGAATTTTAAATGAGGATTTGATGGATCTGACTGCAGAAGGGAGAATGTGTGCACAGTCTCTGGCTGCGGTGTGTAGAGTATTTGTCAGGAAGTCGGGTCAATGCAATTTACAGCAAACAAACCCAGTGAAAAAGCTGTGAGGCGTTTTCCAACAAGTCCTGCTTTTGCCTCTTGATACAGACTTCAGTGTGTTTGTGTGATTGTACGTTTATATAAAGATGTTGTTAATGAGGAGTTCTCACCTGTGTCGGGTGTCCCGGTTCCTGATAATAAGCCATTAATGGGTGTTTGAAGAGAAGAAAAGAGAAGGTAACAAAAATTATTTATGACGCTAACAAGAACTGTTCAAAATTTCATACAAATAGGTCAATTTTCTTCTCATAAAATGGGATTAGGTTTGATTTAGATGGCTGTATTGTTTCACATTAAATATTAACCTAAACAGGAAGCTTTTGGCATCTCTTCCCCGGGAGGACGGGGAGGGGGAAGTATCAAATAGAGACACAGTGAAACCAGAAATATTAGTCAGAGGTAYGATAATGACAGCAAATGAGAGAGTAAAGTTACATAAGGAGAACACTCCACAGGACAAATGACTGTGCAATCCCATCGAGATTCCACGCTTGAGAAAATACAGAAATGGAGAATGTAGTGCCTGCAGCGCAGTAGGCGATATCATCATAATCCACAGAAAAAAGTGTCTTTGTTTCACAGAAAAGCTGCTCTCACATCCTAAAGAGGTAGATTAAGGCCTGTGATGTGTGAACCTCACAGGCTCTGCCTTTGCATAAAGACAAACTTGAGAGCATTGCACTGAGATCAAACAGATCACAGCTGCAGATGATGCTGAGCACAGCTAATGCAGCACYAACCAACATCAGCCTGGCTAATTGCATAAAAAACATGTTTCCAAATATCTCGTCATGCAACAAAAGCACAAATGTTTTACAAAGTAATCCAATGAGCTCACTTCAGTTCCAGTATGGTCCTGGTGTATCCATCAGGGTGGACCCTGCGGACGAAGTTAAAATCGCCAACGTACAGAGATCCATCAGGGCCGCTGGCCAGCGCCACGGGAGCGAACAGCATCATGTCCCGAGCCGCACCACTGCAGCTTGGGCCGCAGGGAACACTGCGATAGAAACCGTTCCCCATAACTGTGCTGATGACAGGGGGCTGCTGGGACAGGAAGATGTTTTCTCCRTTCCCTTTATGAAGGATTCCTGGGAAACAAGAAACACAATAAATCTTTAAAAGCCCCAAGAACATGTTGTCTGAGTCAGTATATACCCAGGAGGTAATAAAATCCCTCTTTTTTTTCTTTTTTGAACCTAACCTTAAGTATTTTGGTTGTATTTGGTGACATGTTTTACTTTTGTGCTGCCGGAGTTTGTCATACGTTGTTTAGGTGAGAATAAAAACGTGGAATCAGCTCTTTCTTTTTGACATTAAGATCAATGAGGTCATGCACATTTGAGCCACTTTTACATAGTCTCGACTCAGCCCTACTCAAGTTGGCTCATCATGGGATCGGCATCATTACTTGGCTGMAGTTCCAAATGAGCTGAATGGTACTGAAGATTGGACATCAGAAGACTGTAGGCCAGAGAGTGACATCACTCATGAGAGGATCTATTGTGTATATTTAGATAGCACTTTTTTAGCCAACAAGGCTTCTCAAAGCACCTTACAACAAAATCTGTCTTTCATAACTCACACACACCATCATACAGCACTCTTCCACACTTCTATAAAAGCTAAGCTGAATAAATCGTTTGATAGAGTCTAATGAGGGCTTTTGGTCCCATTCATACACTGATAGGGCAAACATTGGAGACTGTTGCTGTGTCCAAATTTAGGTCCTGCATTCTTCAAAGGCCAAATCACAGTGATGTCCCGAAGGCTGTCCATATTTGAAGACTCCTYCAATTGAAGCTCACAAATGTGTCCCCCTTTTCCCCCAATTAGAGGTACAGGTTTGGTGTATCTTTTACAGCCCACCATGTCCCGAGATGCATTGCGTGCTGACCAGGAGATTCATTTTTTGTAATGCCAGACAAAGCAAGAGACAGAGCAAGAATAGTTTTAAATAAAAATCTGGTGGTACAAAAATTGAAAGTTTAAAGCAGTTGTGGTGTTAGGTTTTATCATTTGAATAGACATGTTTTTAAATATTCTCATCAGAAATCATGTTCCTTAGTTTTTCATTTATTGCCTCCAAGGTATTTTTGTTAATTTATATTAATAATATTAATATATAAACATTTWGCTAATTTCAGTCTACTTTAGATCTTCATTGCTTCTGTTTAGTGCCATCACAGTTGCTACGCTACTGGACATACATCGAGGTAGAGGCAGGTATAAAGCAGAAGGCTGGACTGTCCAAATTCACAGCCACTTTCTTCCAGTTTTCACGGTTGACAAAGGACCTGGCTCACGATGACCACGTTTGACTTGGCCAAGTCCTTCCATGGATGGAATCCCTGAATTTGGACACAGTGAGGGAATCAGCGTCTTGCCCAGGGACACTTGGACATGTGASCTCAAAGATTATTCAAACCACCAAGCCACAGCCATTTCCAGAGCCAGAAAAATAAAAATGTATTGCCCCAACCTGGCAATCTCCTCTACTTCCTATTACTCCTTGTTGCATCTCTGTTATCTTCCTGTTCTTGAGAGGTGCCCGACTCTTTGTGTCTCCTAAATGAATCGCCTCCTCTTCAGTTGGACAGCTTTATAGTGTCCTTTCCACACAATTTGATAAAGTTCATTGGTGAATGAAACATCCTAATCTTTGTCAGCTCGGTCTGAGTTTGAAGAGTTCCTGAGGGGAGGATCTAGTTCCTCAGTGTGTTGTTCAAACCATTTATCATCAATGTCAACAAAAACAAGCACCATAAAATCCTCCATGTAGCAGCATATTTGTAATGCCCAGAAGAAACCATCCATCCATCCATCCATCCATCCATCCATCCATCCATCCATCCATCCATCCATCCATCCAATTTAAAGTGCTGTTTTGCTGTTCTTCTCTTCAGGGATTACCATAGCATTACTGTTTTACTCCAAATGCCATTCCTGATGCAATCTGGGCTCAAACCTGCTGCTCAGGATTACAAGACCACAGAAGTGACCACAGAACCACCAAGCAACCATGACCTCCATAATGGAAATTGCTAAAATATACAGATGTATACATGTACTTAAAAATGTAATAATTTTGTGCTTTTTGAAAAAGGTCAGCTTCTCCAAAACAAATTAAATATAATCAAAAGTAAATCTAATWAATTTTTTTGTGTTGAGTGTTGTCCTCACCGCTACGTATGTTAAGGGCGTGGTGTTTGTCCAGGGACCATCCTCCAAGGCTGGAGGGAACGAGCTCAAACCCCTGCATCAGAGCGGTCCTCCTTTCCCAGTGGATGATGCCGGGACACGACTCGTACTCGTAACCCACTGACACTGAAACAAGAAGACACACACGAACACACACGGGGAGCGTCATTCTTCTGCATAACTCCAAGAAAGTAACACGGTCCTGCTGATTGACTGGTTTAAAAAGGAATTAAAGGAAAAATTACCACAGGAAGTTGCTTTAAAAACAAACAAAAAAACAACCTTTTAAAGCTTTTTCCTAYGACTCTCCAAAGCATACTGTACAGAGTGCAACAGATGAAAGAAGCACAGCAAAGACCTCATCAGTGTGTGTTTTTGAGACAGATCAGTGAGAAGTGGAAGCGTAATCAGGAGGAGTCCATCTTCATGAAGGAGCCCTAGAATTAGCTGCTTGGCCTCTTCAGTCTAATGATACACTGCGTAGCTTCTCACTACCACTAACAAATACCCACGGCTTCTTGCTTTCTTTCTTTTCTTTTTTGACTTGGCAGGAGTCACTGTGTTTCAACTGTAATTTACCACTCGAAATACGTTGTAAAGCAACAGGAGACAAATCTGTAGGAGATGTGTGGACTCGAATACACACAAGATTTGTGCCACTGTGACACAGTGGAGTCTAAACTGTTGGACATGTGGGCTTAAATCAGCTGGTGGAAAGTACTTGCAGGCCACAAAAATTTTAATATGAATTTATATAATTTCAATTTTTTTTTTCATTTTAAACTCTCAACAACATAAATATTATTTTAGTGAAAGGACAAATGTGTACTTTTTTTGGTGAAAAATGTTACATTGTAGAACACATGTATTCTGTCCAGCCTACCAAAAGGGACCTGCCCCCTCAAAACATATACATTTTTTTTTAGTTTTTATATAAAATGGTAAACTTTCAATTTATGATTCACTATAACAAAATAAACTCATTTAAAAGGTTAAGTATGATAATACTTCTCATGCCCCTGAGCTTTTGGTTAAAGTAACTGTAGCCCRTTGAGCAGTTTAGTTAAATAGCCCTGTATTAATATCTCAAAATAAACTGCTTTAAAGCCAGCAYCAACCATAAACTACATCTCCCATAATGCAGGTGGATTATGGGAATTCCCAGTTGGAAAGTGGGAGAGTTTAGAATTTAAGACTTACCACAATTCAAGTGTGAGTAAAACTCTCTTACTTTTACTTTTAATAGTAAGTTAGTCGTACATGTAGTACTTTTTAATGTTTATAAGAAGATGTGTTTCTATGCAGGAAATACCWGGTAGGACTCAGTTATTGTTTGTTAGCAGTGCTCAGCCATGCACAGCGATAATATGAGCAACGTTAAAATTTCTGTTAAGTCGAAGTTAAACGTTAAAAATATTGGTTACCTATAACTGGCCCTTTGAGGGCTACAATAACTCTCATGTGACCCTCAGAGAAGATTTATTTTACACCCCTGTTGTAGAACAAAAAGCCTCAAACAAAAAAAGAAAACCCAATAAATTCTTCTAATATGTTGGGCCTACTTTTTTCTTTTCTTTTTCCTAAAAAGTAGATTTTAATCCATTCTTGGAAGCAAAAGTGTGGTATGAGTCACTTTTCTTCAAAAACAGACAATAAAAACAATGTGACAATTTCTCTGGTTTGCAGTTAGAATCTCACCTGAAAGATTTTTTTCCTGTTATAAAAATGAGATGAAAGCGCTGAACAAAGTGTACTGCATAAAACTGATTAATAGAAGAATAGGTTTGAAAGAGACAGAAGTAAAATTGATTGATTTGAATGTAAATTATGCCCACTCAATAGTCTCTTATTGAAGTCCAATTTCCTTTTTTATTATTGATTAAATCAACATTTGTTTATCTTAATTTTTTTTTGCTACATTTAGCGGGGATTTTGATTGGTAACAAAAAAGTCTACTATTTTAGTAAAAGTCAGTAAAGGTTTTAAAGGGATCCCCGATTAGTTGTAACATTAGACTTCATTTAATAAACATATATTTTAACTGTGAAACAAAGACTGTAAAAATACTGTAGGCTGTTTAGTTTTTATCATTTTTAAACTAAAAGTTTAAAAATAAATTACATGGAGGGGGCCATTTTATCTACATGCAAAGTATTCTGGGTAAATGATGATGTCAACTAGGTCATCGGTGCGAGCCTGTTAGCTTCAGCGTTAGCCCAGATGCTATCACCATTTATATGTATTATTAGCTCAGCGCTACGCATTCTCCTCTCATCACTGAGGTCCTCCATCCACATGACAGAGAGGGGAACACAAAAATGACTGTCTGCAGCTGAAAATATAGATGGAGGACTTCAGTTTAGCTTGTTTGTCGCGCTAGCACCGAGCTAATACATATAGGCAATATAGCGTCAGTGCTAGCACAAAGGCTAACAGGCTAAGCTGAGGTTCTTCTTCCATGAAGCAGCTCTGTTGTCCTCCATCCATATTTTCAGTTCCAGGCTGAGTCATTTCTACCTTCTCCTCACTGTCAACGCTCTCTGGTTTCATTTAAAAGTGCCAATCATCAGATATTGTTCAAGATTAACCTTCAGGATCGATATAGCTCGCTCACACCGAGGACCTATCCATGTCATCATTTACCCAGAATGCTTTGCATCTAAATAAAATGGCTCCGTCCGTGTTAAAATATATATTTTTAAAATTTACRAAACTAAACAGACTACAGTATTTTTACAATCTTTATTTTACAGTTAGAATAAATGTTTATCAAATAAAGTCTAATGTTACAACTAATCAGGGATCCCTTTAATCCATTTTGTATTGTACTAAACATCACACATTAAAAATGTTTAATGCGATTTTCCATTAATAATAATAATAAAACAAACAAAACCATCACTCTTCAAATTTGCAAAAGGTGTTCACCTGCATGGCTCTCAGGCCAAAATTATACAGGATTATACCATTCCTAAACTTACAGCTTCATAAAATCACTGAGGGCTGCCCTTGTTTTCAACATGTGACCTGGTACTAAAACCTTGCTAACAAAAGCTAAAATATATTACCAGTAGCTCCTTAAAAAGGGTTATTTTTGAACTCGTGCTTAGTCAAAACCTTTAGTAACTTATCAGCCGTGACCATTTTTTGTTAAATGTAGAAGTTTGTCAACATTTATAGACATTATTGTGTTGAGAACGGATAAGAGATTTTACATTATATTAGTTGTGTTTTGTACATTTTTATAAAGGAACTTGACAGATAAAATGAGTTTAAATGAGTCCTTAATCTTTTCAGTTGAGAAATAAACACTTTGATCTTATCACACGCCTGAAGCTTGTACAGGTTCAGCTTATTTAAGGTTTCTTTTATTGATCCGTCCTACAACAACAAAGATTTCACTTAAAGTACTACAGAATYTGCTTAATCGGTAGAAGTACATCCAATGATTATTCCCTGACTGTTCTATTAAAAACTGTTCAGTGGGTTAGGAGATATTTTGCTAACARGCAATTGAACACATGCACACACATACAGATGCAAGCAATTCCGTGATCTCCTAAACTCACCAAAATCATTAAACCCCCAGTGGATCTGATGACCACAATGATCTATTTAACCAATAACMAAGTGCTGCAGGCACCACCATCTACTGAGAAGTGAGACAAACATSTTCATTCAAACTCAGTAACATTTGAAAATGTTATCACTTAATGAATAAGGATTTAAAATGATCCAGTCCAGTGAGTGAGCTTACTGTAAACTTCATTTTCTGTCATCCAGCTTTGGTAATGGTTTTCGTTAGGTAGAAATTCTACTTAGTTTAAAAAATATTTGTCAAAAACTTTCTGGGAATGAACATGAAAGTTTAAAGCACAGATAGTTCAGTGGCTTATTCTCTTTGTATAAAGAAGCAGCCAGGGAATCGACATTATTTAAATTTACTAATTATTGTTGCTCCCATATAGTAAAAACAGCTTTTAGAAAAAACTGGTTTGATAACTGAGTTGATGATTTTGTGCTTTTTCATGGAAGCGTGATTATAGCTGTTTTAATAAAACATCTAATCACTCTTGTGTTCTGCAGGTGGAGCAGTTTTATTATTGCTCACAGTGGTGAGAGGTGACTGATCATCGTTTCGATCCTATCCATCTGTTAAAATATCTCATTAATGGACAGATTTTGACGAAACTGAAAATAACTGTTGGATGTGCAGCTACAGCTTATTCARTTTTAGAGTCAACCCTGTTCAAGATGGCCACCACAGCTTATCAACMCTGGAAAGCACAAAAATGGTCATTACTCAGTCAGGTTTGCAGATACTGGGCTAAGGTTTGGTCTGATAGTAGCTGAGTCATCTCCAACWCATACTCAGGTTGCTWACAGGTTGGGTGAGATCTTTATTTAAATCTTTGGCATGGAAAGCAGTGGGTAACATGCATTCCTTCAAGGAACACTAGTTTCACTTGCACCAATTTTAAAATTCATTGAATACGTTACGTAAAATTTTCTAGATGAATAATGTCGTCTAATTATCTCCTGAAGCAGGCAAGTTCTTGCATTTAGTGTGAAATCCCAATTACATGGAGATCTGTGAGGTTGTGTTCGACAATAAACCATCTGGCCYATCAGGTTAGCTGTCCAGCATGCTGCTTTGATGCTTCTGATGGGTGTCCGACTGTCTAACTCATCAAACCATTTTAGTGACCCTTAATGTTTAATGGATGGAGGCCTTGTCATTCTGGAAGAGATGAATCCCACCAGGATAGAAATGTTTCRTCATCTGAAGCAACTCTTCCCACAGAGCAGAGTGCTGAAACCCACGGGTCTGGAGCTCTTTGAACTTTGAGTAAAAACAACATGGAAACAATTTGTTATTGATTTTCATAACATTAACAAAAAAGGCCTGTGTCAGCAATTTTCCTGTTAATTTTTTCAGTAAATTTTTGAARGATAACAGTGTTTCCCTTATGAACTTGGCAGGGTGCTTGTTGGAAGTGGTTGGGTGCATTTTGATAGGCAGGGCTTTTGGTTCTGTTAAAAGGGTGGGACGCCCTCTACAGATTGGGGAARCACTGCAAAAAGGGACACATGCTATTTAGATCAGTGGTTCCCAAACTTTTCAG